ATATATATATAATTTGTATTACATGATAATACATATATATATATATATATATATTTATATATATATATATATATATATATATATATATATATATATATATATATAAAAGATGAGGAATGAAAGTCTAATTTGGTATTTTATTTTTTTTATTTTTTTTCTTTGTCCTAGTTAATATTTTGATTAATCCCCGAGTACGGATCTATGTGACATTTATCATGAGATCATTTCAAGCTTATAAAGTCTATCCTTGTCTATACGATATCATTGACGATAGCTAGTCCATACATTTGCTTTCACTAATTCTTTTTTTTTTCGACCTTTTACTTATGGACGTAATAAAAGAGTTGCACGACTTATACAAAATCACTTAAGTTTATGACATGAGTTATAATTCAAAAAAAAATGAATCAAAAATTGAAAAGAAAATTAGATAAAATCATAGTTTATTCTACCAATCATGAACATGTGTATGATATATCCTTACAAGCCAATTCGAATAGAAGAAAATATTTGGAACAAATTCACACGTAAAATGAAGATTCGAAAAGGACTGAGGATTGAAAGAGTCAAGTAAACTATCATATTTAAGTAGTTTAGACTTCTGGGTTGAGTGGTGTCTATCATATCTAAGTTTGACCGATCATGCTAATGGCTTCCAGGAAAGACACATTCGATTGCTGGTCAACCCACTGCTTGGAATTCGCCTGTAAGCACCTCATCCACAATGAGCACCAGAGAGAGAGAGAGAGACAGAGCGATGAGAAGCTTTGACTTTACGTATTCTGGAAAGGCGGCTAACTTGAGTTATGAACATCGACGTTTCCATTCTGTTGGATGCTACAATTGAAATATACTCATACTATGCCGATGTTAAGATGAAGAAAATGATGTAGAATACATAGAGCAACCTATGATTGACGCCTCCGTTGAATATATGCACACAACAATATGCAGTGTTGACGCCTCGCTCTTCAACAATCTACACCTTTGACTTTGTTGCTTGCTCCAAAAGCTTATAGTTGATCCTTCACAGTCAAACCTTCCATACTCTAAACACGACAAGTCAGCTTCCAAGTGTTAGATACATTAGTGATCGCATGCTATACCAATCGAAACTCGAATGTGAAGTCCAATTAGCATCTACAGAACATTAGGACTCGGTATATTCTTTGAATGAAAAGGACAGCATGCATGATGGAATGTAGTGCGTGAACTAAAAGAATCTTTACTAGTTGGAAGCGAGTAAACTTAGGCTCAAGTAACGTCCAATTAAAATATAAGTATGTCAACATATTTGGATGACATGTAAATATTATCCTAATCATACTCCTCGATACTATATAGGTATTAAACGATCGATCTTCGACTTTCATATGCTTACATTAACACGAATCAAGTAAGACAAGTTTGAACAATAACAATAAAAAAAAGAGAAAAAATGGTGAAAGTTGAAAGGAACTCAAAGGAATAAGATGTTTCCATCTTAGTAGTTACTCTTTTGAACATAATTAAGACTAATAGGATCAAAAAACTTGTCAAGCGAAAATTATTGGTTACTTGAGACTGATAATTATAAATAATACTTCAAATGAGAACAGACAAACCAAATATTAAACCGCTTTAATAAATTAATGAAATTGACACTAAACCAAAATTTAAAATATAAATATAAATATAAAAGAAAAAAAAAAAAAGCTGATGTTGAACCATTGAATTAAAAGCAATGAGGAATTTTAATTATTTTGTGAAAGTTGGGCATTAAATTTAGGAGGTGGAAAAGTCCATCTAATGCACCTAATAATTTAGATACCCATAAAGGACCACAATTGCCCACATAAAAGTATCCTATTTTCTATGATTAGTCACATATAAATCACATAAACATAAGAATTTATATGATAGTTTACAATTCTAAATGAGACATGCCTAATAGATTAGATCTAATTCAACTAAGTTAGATTTGAGATTAAGAATATATTACTCATCATCACCCAAAAATCTCTCTCTCTCTCTCTCTCTCTCTCTCTCTCTATATATATATATATATATATCTATATATATATATATATTATGAATGATACTATATTTATTAAGTCAAATTAATCTTTATATTCATTGGCTGTGGCAATATATTTGCATTGGGTATTATATATATATATATATATATATATATATATATTATGAATGATACTATATTTATTAAGTCAAATTAATCTTTATATTCATTGGCTGTGGCAATATATTTGCATTGGGTATGAACTCATTAACGTGCAATACAAAAGCCGTCATCTCCGCTCTAGACCGAGCGGTTCAAGAACCAGTCCACGGGCGGCGTAGGACTTGGACTGATCTCTCTGCACGCGTCGTCCGGGCCAACGGGGCTAAAACGGGGACTCGAGTGATGTTTGTAGATTCTCGTCGCAAGTTTGATCGCTGCCACCAACATATCGCCTTCGTCGTCTTGCCGACGCAACGCTTTTAAAGCTCCCTCACAAACCTACCTTCTCCTCCATCCAAAGCTCTCTCTCTCTCTCTCTCTCTCTCACAATGGAGGCTTCAGGCTCTCTGATGGCCGCTTTCTCCGCTCCGTTCCTCGTAGCTCCGAATCCAAGAACCAGCCCCAAGCGGCAGGTCCGTGTAGTCTCTCTCTCTCTTTTCCGTTCTCGTTTCGGTGGTTCGACGCATGAAATCTGTTCTGCTCCTACCTTCTTAATTTTCTTCTCTTCAGTTTCGTGTCAGGGCGTGCGGGCTTGGTGGTGATGGGAAGATGATGTTTAACAAAGGCAAGAGTGGGTGGACGATTGATTTCTCCGGAGAGAAGCCTCCCACCCCGCTTCTGGACACCATTAATTACCCAATTCACATGAAGAATCTCTCCGTGCAGGTCTCTTCCTCGCCGGTGCTTTCGTCACGCATGTCATTGGTTATAACGATCCCACCACTCACGAAAAAAGATCTTCTTTACAGGACTTGGAGCAGCTCGCAGCAGAGCTAAGAGCAGAGATTGTGTTCACCGTGTCGAAGACTGGTGGGCATTTAAGTGCAAGCCTGGGAGTCGTGGAATTGTCCGTGGCTCTCCATCATGTGTTCGATACTCCCGAGGATAAGATCATATGGGATGTTGGTCATCAGGTCAGAGAAGAAAGCTTGTAGCGTTTGCCAGTAGAAGTGGAGGAACGAAATAACATGTGTGGGATGAACTGCAGGCCTACACACATAAGATCTTGACCGGGAGAAGGTCAAGGATGCATACCGTCAGGCAAACCTCTGGGATCGCAGGTTTCCCCAGGAGAGATGAAAGCATCTACGATGCTTTTGGTGCTGGTCACAGCTCCACAAGCATCTCTGCCGGACTCGGTAAGCTCTCGACACTTACTCTCTCCCATTAAATCGAACTCAATTCTTTATTCCATTGGATGTCTTGATAGGCATGGCCGTCGCCCGAGATATGCTAGGGAAGAAGAACCATGTAATCTCTGTCATAGGGGATGGAGCTATGACCGCTGGCCAGGCCTACGAAGCCATGAACAACTCAGGATACTTGAATTCGAACCTTATTGTGGTGTTGAATGACAACAGGCAAGTTTCATTACCAACTGCAACCCTTGATGGACCTGCCACTCCCGTTGGTGCACTGAGTAAAGCCCTCACCAGACTTCAAGCAAGTACCAAGTTCCGTAAGCTCCGGGAAGCAGCCAAGGTGAGGACGCAAAAGTCGAGTTAATCTTTACATGTCAGTTCAGTTCTTTAGTAGATTTCTTGTCGTCCTTTCCCCATATTGCTTATGTTCCTGTTTTTACTGGTGGCTACTTGTATGCCGAATTCAATGAGACGATGATTCCAAAGGAGGCAACAGAACAACGATTCTAATTTATTGGGACTGCTTTCGATGGTTGATGTTATGACATGCATAGTAAATTGGATCATTCTGAGTCGCCGAATTGGGTCATTCTGCAGAGCATCACAAAGCAAATTGGTGGTCCAACACATGAGGTTGCTGCGAAGGTGGATGAGTTCGCCAGAGGACTGATAAGTGCCAATGGATCATCATTGTTTGAGGAGCTGGGATTATACTACATCGGTCCAGTAGACGGGCACAACTTGGAAGATTTGGTGACCATCTTCCAGGACGTGAAGTCCATGCCTGCTCCAGGACCTGTCCTCATCCACATTGTGACAGAGAAAGGGAAAGGGTATCCCCCCGCCGAGGCTGCTCCAGACAAAATGCACGGTAACGTTCCTTGCATGTCCTTTTGGTATCCATGGGGAGAGTTAGAACGATGTGCTTGTCTCAGGAGTCGTGAAGTTTGACCCGAGCACCGGGAAGCAGCTGAAGCCAAAGTCACCCACTCGCTCGTACACCCAGTACTTTGCGGAGGCTCTCATCAAAGAGGCGGAGGCGGACAACAAGGTCGTCGCTATCCACGCAGCCATGGGTGGTGGGACGGGACTGAACTACTTCCAGAAGAGGTTCCCTGACCGATGCTTCGACGTGGGAATTGCAGAGCAGCACGCCGTCACGTTCGCAGCTGGTCTGGCCACCGAGGGCCTCAAGCCTTTCTGTGCCATCTACTCATCCTTCCTTCAACGAGGATATGATCAGGTAGGTAAGCTTTGGATTTTGTGTCAGTATGATGGTTTTGATGATCTAATCCAACTGGGAGGATCCGTAGGTGGTGCATGATGTCGACCTCCAGAAGATACCTGTCCGGTTCGCGCTGGATCGAGCGGGCCTCGTCGGCGCCGATGGACCGACGCACTGCGGAGCATTTGATATCACGTACATGGCTTGTTTGCCCAACATGATCGTGATGGCCCCGGCGGACGAAGCCGAGCTGATGCACATGGTTGCAACTGCGGCAGCCATCGACGACCGGCCCAGCTGCTTCAGATTTCCCAGAGGCAACGGAGTAGGTGTGGCCCTCCCTCCCGACAACAAGGGCTCGCCTCTCGAGGTAGCGACCGGCTTCCCAACAATGTCATCATCCTCAAAGAACTAAAACGATCTTTGAGATCTCTTTGCTTTTTGGTTCCCAAACAGATCGGGAAGGGCAGAGTTCTGATGGAAGGGGACAGGGCCGCCATCCTGGGATACGGTTCCACAGTTAACACATGCCTGAAGGCTGCAGACACGCTGAGAGCCCACGCAGTCTTCGCCACCGTGGCCGACGCTCGGTTCTGCAAACCTCTGGACGTCAAGCTCATAAGGAGCTTAGTGAAGGAGCACGATATCTTAATCACGGTGGAGGAAGGCTCCATCGGAGGATTCGGATCCCATGTTGCTCATTTCCTGAGCTTGAGTGGCCTCCTCGATGGACAACTGAAGGTAAACTTTCCCTCGACACAAGGAATCTAATCTTAGCTTTGTTCTCTCCTAAACTATCCCAGTGATGATTTTTACTGAAGCAGTTGAGATCGATGGTTCTGCCGGATCGATACATCGACCATGGATCACCTCAGGATCAGATTGAAGCAGCAGGGCTGTCTTCAAGACATGTTGCTGCGACCGTGCTGTCTCTTCTGGGGAGGCGCAAGGAAGCGTTGCTGCTGAAGTGAGCTTGCATGTACCGAGTGTAGGATTCGAGTAACTGCGGTGGTAAGACACCAAAGCTGTGGTCCATGCATACACACCAATTCGATCTCAGGATTGGAAATCGAGGAGTTCCATGGATGCCTAAGAGCTTTGATAGCTACTGTTTGTCCTGTGAAACAAGCGGTGGCAGAACAGGATGACGAGTGTTTCCCGAGTGGGATCCTTTGAGAGACTCGCATATATGCCAATTTGTCTGCTTGTATTGCTGTGCTAATATATATATATATATATATATATATATATATATATATATATATATATATATATATATATATATATATATATATATATATA